ATTATTATCCATTGTAAATAATAAGACCTTGTATGGCGTGAATCAATCACTTGCTGCTTTGATGGTGATTGGGTACAGCCAAATGAAACTCCGCCGTCTCTTTTGAAATTCAAAATTCATGATGTACGTAGGTAGTTATTTTTTGAAAATAGGACATTATGATTACACAATTCATATACGTATGCTGTATATGACTGTAGACTAACTAGCGACTAAAGTAAGGTTGGAAGAAGGCTAAGGTCATGCTGAAGTACTCGAGAACGAGTCCTTAAATTTAAGATTTTCAAAGACGAACTTAACTTGCAGTTAGGCTCGAACTTAACGCTAAGCATAACCTTAAGTCTTTCTTGAATGTAAATAAGTGAGAGTGCCCAGGGCATGACGGCCCCACTACTTACCTCCCCTACACTACTTCCTCTGAGAGTTGTTACAAGTTAGAAGGAGTAACTTGTGTGAGTGTTTCGGGAGAAAACACCATGATGACGCTAGCTTACGGCTATATGCTCATCGGCGATCTCTCTAGTAATCTCTGGTCTCTCTGGTGAGACCATCCTGGCGGAGAAGCTGGAAATACTGATTCGATTTTAGCTGCCCTGGCGGAACCCTTGGCCTGTCTGGCTCATGGATGGGACCTGTTGTCGCCCGTTCCAGTCGGTTCCAGAATTCTAGTGATTGGGGCTGGCATCATCGGAAACCTGTGGGTCTCGGTGCTTCACCTGCATGGGCACCGCAAGGTTACTGTGTCTGAGCCCAACCAAACCCGGCTCAACTACGTGAAGAAATTGGGTAAGGTCCAGATGGCGGGTTGTATGGGTACCTGGACTCTACAGAAAAATTGCAGAAACTGGTTTCAAGTTGCTCACTCCGGATCAACTGAGGAAAAACCGAGACGCTGATCCGAATTACGCCTTCGAAGTGGTGATCGACTGCAGCGGGTTCTGTCCAGCTGTTGAGTACGGCCTCTCTCTGCTGACCAAAGGGGGAAAGTTGTGCTGCTTTGGAATTGCTCCGCCTGATAAAACCATCAGCGTGTCACCTTTCGAGCTGTATGCCAGGGAAATAACTATATTTGCGGTCAATGTGAACCCATTCAGCATGGTCAAGTCTGTCGGGTTCATCGAGGCAATGGGTTCCAGGTACATTGACTATGAGAGGCTGGGCGTCCAAGTTTTTCCGTTGGGCAGCTACCAGCAGGCCCTGGACCTGCTCAAGACTGGCACCATCGCAAAAGCGATATTCCAACTGTAATTGTGAAATGCGTGTTATTGAATTTGCTTAATAACCGCTAGTTTACTGTTCAATTAAAGTTAAATTTGAATAAAAAACACAACTGGTTTAATAATCGTTGTACTTCAAAGTTCATTTGTAGCTCATAAACACCATGAGACTTATTAATGAAATTATGAAAAGTCCATTAAGTGAGAGTTTTCTTTTAAATGGGCATTGGATGTGTGATGTTAAATAGACCCTGCACATCTTGTTGGGTACTAGTCGATTCTCGACATCCGAAGTGAGCGGCTTCGTTTATGATTACTGCTTGAATTAAGTGAGAATAGCAACAACTGAGGTAAGTTTGGCTTTCAATATTGAAAACTCGGAAAAATTAGCTGAAATTATTTGAATGCGTTTATTCAATTAATCCGTTAAGTGGCCAAACGCCACAACACTTACTTGTCTTACTTAAAGTAGTAAATATACATTTAAATTCAATTATTTTAAAGATAAGGCAAGATTGAGTGTTGAACAAAAAATGTTGTCCACGACCGAGCTGGGCGATGCGATGCTCAAAAGTTTCGTCAAAGTCAAAAGAAAAAGATGGTCACGTCAGATGAATCTCTCCTAACTGAAAAAATTCTGGAAACTCCCAGAAATTTCCGATTAGTGAAATTTTTCGCACTTAAAGTAGCGCATTTTCTCTTTCAAGTGATATTATGGGCCGGATTGTGGGATTTTTGACTTTTTCTTGTCAAACTTTTGAAAAATTCGTGTTTCCCATCGGCCGTCGACTCGCCTTAATAACTGAAAAATCTTGGAAACTTCCAGAAATTTCCTAATCAACTGAGTTTTTGCTCACTTAAAGGAGTCGATTTTCTCTTTCAAGTGATGTTATGGGCCGCATTCAGGAATTTTTTCTTGACGAATTTTTGAAAAATCCGTGTTGTCCATCGACCAATCGCTTCGATTTAGTCTCTGAAAAAATCCTGAAAACTCCCAAAAATGTCGTAATCAAACTGAATTTTTTCTCACTTAAACCAGTTGATTCTCCTTTTCGAGTGATGTTATGGGTCGCATTCAGGAATTTTTGCTTTTTCTGTGGGAATTTTTTTTTAATTCGTGTTGTGCAATGACCACTCGCTTCGATTTAGTATGTAAAAAAGTCCTGCAAACTCCCAGAAATTTCCGATTCAAGTGAGTTTTCCGCACTTAAAGCAGCGCATTTTCTCTTTCAAGTGATATTATGAGCAGCATTATGCGATTTTTGGCTTTTTCATGTCAAATTTTTGAAAAATTTGTGTTTTCCATCGGCCGTCGACTCGCCCTAGTAACTGAAAAATCTTGAAAACTCCCAGAAATTTCCTAATCAACTGAGTTTTTGCTCACTTAAAATAACGATTTTCTCTTTCAAGTGATGTTATGGGCCGCATTCAGGAATTTTTTCTTGACGAGTTTCGTGACCAATCGCTTCGATTTAGTCTCTGAAAAAATCTTGAAAACTCCCAAAAATGTCTTAATCAAACTGATTTTTTTCTCACTTAAGCCAGCCGATTCTCCTTTTCGAGTGATGTTGTGGGTCGCATTCAGGAATTTTTGCTTTTTCTCTGGGGAATTTTTTAAAAAATTTGTGTTCAATGACCAATTGCTTCGATTTAAAAACCTCACTTAAAGCCGCGGATTTTCTCTTCCGAGTGATATTCTGGGCAGGCTCGAGAAATTTTTGGTTCTTCCTTGACAATTTTTTTTAAATCCGTCTGTCTATACCAACGGCTAAACTTCTCCTAGTAACTGAGAAAATCCTACAAACTCCTATTTGTCACAACAAAGAAATGTCCTAATCAAGTGAGCCTTTCCTCATTTAAAGCAGCCGATTTTCGCTTTCGAGTGGTTTTCTGGGCAGACTTTAGAAACTTTAAAGATTAAAATGTCAAAAATTCAAAAACATTTTGTGGCAATAAAGCACACTTTGCCATTTTGTGGGGGGTTTTCAACTTCTGACGGACTGTTAAAAAATTCCCGCTTCAGACTCGATCAATTCATTGAATTGACTAGTGATTCTATCCGCCAAAACAACAATAATTAACCCATTTATTAAAAAAACTTTTCATATGCTAATTAAGTGTTTTATCATTAGTAGGTTTGACAAATAGCTGGTATCAAAGCATTCATAGTTACAATTAATTATTAACAATGTTAAATTGGTCGATTTATAAACACACTCGATTAAAAATTAAAAAAAGTTTAACCTGTTCGATAAATGATGTTATTAGAAGCACAATGGCAGAAGGCAACGATCGAATTGGGGAAATATTCAAAGGCAAGACCGTGTTCCTGTCTGGAGCGACTGGATTTCTCGGAAAAATGCTGATTGAAAAGCTACTTCGAGTCACGGAAGTCAAGACGTTATATTTGCTGATTCGACAGAAGAAAGGAAAATCCCCGAAGGACCGCTTGCAGGACATATTCAATCACGTGGTACTTAGCATCTATATCTATCTTCAGACAGTGAACGCCTAATCTTCCACCTAATTTTCCTACTTTTGCAGCTTTTTTCCACTGTGAAGAAAACGCGACCGGACTGCTTCAAGAAGTGTGTGGTTGTTACGGGAGACGTTCTGGAAACTGAATTGGGCCTACTGGAAAACGATCGGAAAACGATGGTAAAAGAGGTGGATTTTATTTTTCATTCGGCGGCCTCCACTCGTTTTGATGACACTTTGGAATACGCCATCCGAATGAACACCTTAGGCACGAAGTACATGCTGAATTTCGCCAAACAGTGCCAAAAACTTAAGGTACGCGTTCAGCGTAAAAGCTAAGCACTTCTTTATTCAGAATAGACACCTTTCTATTTTCATAATTTTTATGCCAATAAAACAGGATGCAACTGCATCTTGCAAAGTTACAAAGCGGGGCATTCGTTCACCCGATAATCTACGATACGCCGATCAGGGAAAGTTAGGCGTGTATTACAGTTATTAAGTCATGATGAGTGCATTCTGCGCTATAACAAACGGTTGCATTATTTTTCGCTCGTTCTAAATTTAAGCAGGTTAGCAATTACGAAAAAAGTTCACCTTGGAATCGTCACAGCAAAAAAGAATCAAGACTTTGGAAAGCAATTAACACCAGCCATAAAATGGACTTTATCCAATGAAAATTACTTAAATCTACTTAAGCAATTATTCCGCAACTACAGTATGAGCTGAAAATTGCAAAATCTTCTTGTTTGCTTATGTATATCATCAACTAGTGGTAGTGAGACTAAATAAGGGGACTAAATAAACATGAGATTAATCTGGTAACTGGAAAAATCCTGAAAACTCCCAGACACTTTGTATTAAAGTGAGTTTTCCTCACTTAAAGCAGCCGATTTTACCTTTGGATTGATGTTATATGGCCGCATTCAGGGATTTTTGGTTTTTCCTGGGCGAATTTTTGAAAAAAGCAGTATGCACCGATAAAATAAAGGGTTCAATGATACTTTCTCTCCAGAAATAATGAATGTATGCGCCGGCAGGCGATTTTGCCAGTAACCAGTTTTTAGGAACAATGATTCGATGCAATTATTCATAAAGTGAGAGGCAATTTTACTCGCTTTTGTTTGTCTATTTGCATTTTGTCAATCCTTCATTTCTCAGCAAACTTGGCAAATTATCGTTTACATTTACAATTTCTTCTCAATTTTAAACGGATAGTTATTCCCTCATTACTGCGAAACCTACTTTTTAAATTTTAATTATTTCAGTTATTCGAGCACATTTCTACTGCTTTTGCGTTTCCCAACGAGAAAGTTCTCCACGAAAAGACCTACGATCCTCCTGCAGATCCGCAGCAGATCATCGAAATGACCACGGCCTCAGACCCAGAGGCCAAAATGAAGCTGCCGGAGAAAAAGTAAGCCAGACTCTCATGCAAAAGAGCTGGGAACGTAAAATACAAATGCTTTTTGTCCATCTTTAGAATTATGGGAAACTACCCCAATACATACTCCTATTCTAAAGCACTGGCCGAAGGACTAGTTAATCAGCAAATGGAAACTTTGCCGGCCATCATCGTACGGCCAGCTGTGGGTACGTGTAATCCAGACTTTAATAAATAAACCAAGCTAGTCATTCATAAATCCCGATTTGTTTGGGACCAACATTAAATTCTACCGATCGGCGATTTATCAATGAAAGGCAGGTGGTAGGGATAAAGTAGGTACCGATCGAAGAGTAGAATTAATCGGAAAATCAACTCGCCTGGCTGCTAGCCATGGGCGTACTAAAAATCAGTATTAATCGTTTATTCTCAGCATGAAAGATTCATTCATTTTCTGACTTTTTTCTCTACATTATATGTTTGAAATTATAAACGCTATAATAGTAACGCAAATTTTTTAAGCATTTGATAGCGATTCAATAGGAATCGAATATGGCTCTTAGCTTATAAATTCAAAACAACCCACGCAACTGGTCCTTGTTTACATTCGTGCAAAACAGTATAGGTTAGGAAAATTCAGGCCGATTTTCTTAAAATTTCTGCAAATGAAACCACTGCGCACGATTTCTTTTAGGCGTAACAGTTTATTAATCATTGTACGTACTTTCCTGACTGTGTTTCAATTCCAAAATTAAAATCAAGTCCTGGGTTCTTCAGTCATTTATTTATTGTTCATTTATCAATTTAAAAAAACGTTTCGGTGTTTTCCACCATCATCAGTTTTACTAAAATAACAGGTAGTCAAAAAAAATAAAAAATTTTAAATGTTCTCATTAATCTAAAAAACAATAACAGTTTGTCAATAGCTTGTTATATCACATACTAAAATACATTACCCTTGCAACATTTTAAAATATTCTGAGATTAATTGGTCTTAACAGGTGATTAGC